AATCTCAGACCCAGCTGATATTAAACAACATGTCATTTACCTGTAATGTACATTTAGAACGGAAAGATTATGAAAACCATAATTAAATTATATTTGTTCAACAGGTGGCCAAGAAAGGCATGGAGTCCTACAGGTTTGGCAGTGTGGACTATATAGTTTTTCTGGGCATGATCGTATTATCCACCGGCACGGGCATCTATTTCGGTTGCATCAAGTGAGTGACCTTCAATTCCACGAAAACATTGGCAATCAATTGTGTTAATTGCAGGAAGAGCAAGAGGAAACTCGAGGAGGTGGAACCCACTTTGCCGACCACAATGCCAGAAAGGCGAAAAAACGATTTCGGATCGGAGAAGATGAGCGAGTACCTACTTGGGTCACGCAATCTGAAAGTTTTCCCTGTTGCTATGAGTTTAATAGCCAGGTATTATTGATGATATTTTACCCCCCCTAAGCATCCCTGTAATCTGCAGCCTTTTATTTCCAGCTATATATCGGGCGTTACGATACTGGGAACTACCTCTGAAATCTACAATTATGGCACTCAATATTGGTTTATAGCCATCGCAATCGTGCTGCAAGGCATTGCCGTCTCCTATGTCTACATACCCGTGTTCTCGGCTCTTCAAGTAGGCTCTTCGTATGAGGTACGACATTCGTAAATGCTAGAAACTGATTTATTGATTTACAGTCCAATAAGTCGGGTAGCTTATGGTTACAGTAAAAGTGAAGCTGTTCTTTATGGAAACATTTAACAAATGGGAACTTGATTTTTATTAACTTTGTCTAGATTTTCATTTTCATACCCTAGAGGGATATAAAAACTTGAAACTAAAACAAAAAAAAAAGAAATATGACTGCATTGGGAGATAAGAACGATAGAGTATTTGTATCCGTCTTCCTAGTTTACTCTTTAATTTATTTGCCATCAACTGACTGGAAATCGTAGTGAACATTTTAATTAACTGAAAGTCGGAGACCACCCTCCTCAAGTGGAATTTCTTGGACTTTGCTCTCGCCCACTTGTTGCGACGCTTTTGCTGTTTCTCCATGTGTCCGTTCTGATTAATTGTAAAGTATTTTGCTGCCACTTGACAATTGTGTTCGAACTATTAGATAGCCCGAAAAAAAAGTCCAAATGACGTTCGTTTTAGTGCCGGCAATGATGACTAACCAATTATTTAAAAGCTTAATGACATTTTTACTTTCAGTACTTGGAGATGCGTTTTCATTCGGTCATTAGAAGCATAGCGTCATTTATGTTTATTCTAGATGAGGTAAGTCAAAGTCCGAGTTCATATCTTTACTTAAGTAATCATTGATCCGATTTCAGATTCTGTTTCTGCCTTTTATTGTGTATGTTCCAGCCATAGCTCTGAATCAGGGTAAGCTATATTTGTTACTTTATTAAACCATTCCTCTAATCTTTTCCTAATCTTGCAGTTTCTGGAATTAATCTCCATGTGATTGCTGTGGTAATTGTGGTCGTGTGTGTTTTCTACACTTTTGTGGTAAGGTTAAGAGGGTATGATACATGGTTAGCCATGAAAATAAATAATATATTTCCAGGGAGGGATCAAGGCAGTGGTCCACACAGATGCCTGGCAGGTGCTGGTGATGTTTCTTTCCGTTTTGGCAGTGGCGGTATTGGCAACAGTTTATGCCAACGGCTTGAACGCTCTTTTTGACGATGCCGCAAAGGGTGGTCGATTGATTTTTAACAACACAAATCCATCACCATATGTTCGTCATACGGTTTGGAGCGTTCTCATCGGTGGATTCTCCTACTGGACATCTTTTAATGCCGTCAATCAGACCATGGTGCAGCGATACATGTCTCTCCCCTCGCTGAAAAAAGCCCGAGCTTCTATGGCTATTTTCACAATTGGAGTGGCTGCCTTTGTCTCGGTTTGTTGTTATGTGGGTCTACTGATCTTTGAGATGTACAAGGATTGTGATCCTCTGAGTGCGGGCCTAATTACGGTGAGTAAATAATAATTAACTTTTGATCTTTACTTACTTTTATTCCTCTTCAGCACGACGATCAACTCCTGCCGCTCTTTGTCGTCCAGAGTGTGGGTCACATCTATGGAATGTCTGGTTTGTTCATAGCTGGGATATTCGGAGCCGCCTTGAGTTCTCTTTCCGTAGTTCTCAACTCCACTTCCTTGGTGATCCTGGAGGATGTAGTTCGCGGCTGCTTCAAGATGCAACCAAGTGAAAGAGCCTCCACCATTCTGGTCAAGTCAACTATTATAGTTCTTGGTATAGTGGCCCTTTCACTGGTGTTTGTCCTGGAACAACTGAGTGGAATTCTGAGCATTTGCACTTCAATGACGGCCATCGCAGCTGGGACCACTTTTGGCCTGTTCACCCTGGGAATGCTCGTTCCCTGGGCCAATACTGTGGGCACTGCTGTGGGCGGAATTGCAAGTGCTCTGCTCGCCGGATGGATATCCTTCGGAACGCAGTTTACCATTGCAGCGGGTGAATTGAATTCCCAAAAACTTCCCGTGTCGGTGGAGGGATGCGTTGGTAATGTAACGCTTCGGGAAAATGTATGGGTGGATGAGGAGCAAGTTTTCCCACTGTATCGGCTGTCCTACCACTGGATTAATCCCATTGGAGTGGCCACTGTCGTCGTGGTGGGTGCACTGGTCTCCCTTGTGACCAAACCGACGAATATAAAGACTCTGGATCCCGATCTTATATCGCCAGTGATTCACAGGTTCGAATACAGCTTGCCTTATAATCATATTCTGTATAATTCTAATCGAAACATTTCTTTTTCTTAGATTCCTTCCAGAAGAATGCTTTAACGGTCGCAATCTTAATGCGCAGGCGCACAAAAACCTCATAAACGTCTCCTAAAATTGGCGAGCCATAATACCCTGTGCCAAACTTAATGGAACCAATCGAGAAATCGAGCTCCTATACCTGTGGCATTGTATTCCACACACTTTTCTTGTTGGCCTAGTACGTAGTTTGTAGTTGCTTTTTGGTAGTTATTTTAAAAATATCCTAGTCTAGTACAATGCGATCCAGCTATTGGATTGGTGAACACAAACCGAAGTACAGGAACCTATGAATCTGCATCTCCATATCCAGAGTGCACAATCATTAGCGTAGTGTAATTATTGTATTATAATATAGCTTTATTTAATTGTTCTGATCGTATCCGTTCTTCACTTTCCAGCTTATGTTCAAGCAATATTCTTTGGCATTTTCGATTTGTAGTCAGCAGACTGTGTCTCATTATGTATTCCGTGTGACTTTACAAGCATAATGTCTGTGATAAATTCAATAAATAGATCATACACAAATTGTCCGAATTGTTTACACCTAGAATATAGTTAAGCGATTGCAAAGCAGCAGGAATGATATGACCACTGTCTGGATCTGGATCTGGGATCTGAGTCTGGAATCTGGCTGTATCTATTCTAAACTAAGCCCCAATCAGGCGTAAATCACAAAAGAGGATGCGCCTCGTGTAGGCTCGTTCGTACATACAAACTAATTGACCTTCCGATGATCAGCGGCCGAAGACTGTCCTCTGCTTTTGATGCACTTGCGCACCTGCAACGCGATGACAATCAGGCAGAGCATGCCAGCACTTAGGTAGCTGTTGAAGACGAACTGCTGCGGCAGCATTTTGCACTTGGAAACAACATAGTCGTCGGGGGTGATGGTGGCCTGAAAATAGGAGATTATTAGTACAAGTTCCAAGAGTTTGCAAACGTATGAACCCACCAGCATAAAGCTGGGATTGACTTTGTTCCGCCAGCTAAAGGAGGCCACCGTGTACTCATCAATACCCAGTCGATTGACACTGTGGCAAAAGTGATGTGAATGGCCGGCGAATGCAAGTCTAGGCTTTAGTAGTTCCCCCAGCATATCCGTCGCATCCTTGGAGAGCACATGAAAGCGTTCGCGGAACGTCTCGATGTACGGGGCATCGTGCTCCTCGCACATGGTATCCGATATTCGGTATGTGGGAAAGTGCTGCAGCAGGATGGGCTGACTATAGGGATGTCGCCTGGTGCGGGCGCACTCCGCCTCCAGCGGATACTTCATGCAGTGCAGCGTCCGCGAGATATTCTTTAGCTCATCCTCGGCCTGCTCACAAAACATGCAGCCATCTGCCTCCATGGCCATGGAGTTTATCACCACGAAGTGGATCTGTTTGATGGTGTACAGGTGCACCGAGGAGTTGTTTAGATAGTTCTCAAAACGCGACATAAAGAATGGATGCATTCTGGAAGATTATTGATATGAATAAAGGAAATTAAGAGTCTGTATATTTGGTTGACTTACTTGTAGTGGAAGCCCACGTCGTGGTTTCCGGCGACGCTGATGAGCGGAATCCCCGGCGGCAGGTGGAACATCTTCAGATAGCGCCACACATACTCCTGGAACTGTTTGTCGCTCACCATATCGCCCTCATCGAACAAATCCCCCAGGACGAAGACCACATCCGGCTGGAACAACCGTGATGCCGCCTGGAAAGCACGCGTCATGTGCCACTCCCGGTAGAGCTTGTCCAACCAGTGGCCACGATGCGGTCCCAGAAGATGGGGATCCGCCAGTATCATCGCCCTCAGCGGATCGTCCACATACTTCTTCCTTTTAATTTCCGGCCACTTGCATTTCTGGAGGACCACAAAGTCCGCCACGTATTCGCAGAAGATCAGGGCGCACAGCACGATCACAAAGCAGGCGTACAGAAATCGCATGTTTCGTTTTTTAACCGGCTACAAAAATAATAACAAATTTAGCTTAAAAACAATAGGGAATCACTCGATAACCATGTTTGCTTAGCGACACTCGATAATTTTGCCAGTGTTGTAAAGCGGCGGCAGGTTGTCTTACGAGGGCTGGAAAAGTTGGGCGGCTAATTTGAAAATATTTTATTAAAAATTGTTATTCGATTGCAAACTTTTAAGTTTAGCATAAAAAATATGAAGTTTAAAGCCAGATTAAAACATATTGTACATAATCTGTTCTGTAAGAAGCGCATTAGCTAAAATAGCGGACAGTTTATTTGGAATATATGTTGTGCATTGCATGCTGCTTACAAGCTAACTAAAAGAGATCGTAGAAATAGTTCAGTCCCTGCCCGAGTTCCCAGATGGAAATGCCTGTGCCCAACTCTTGGGCCAGCTTTATTCGCTCGTTGATTGAGTAGAGAGTGGGATAGAAAACAATGTGACGACCGTCTTCGTTTCTGAAAGTTGTCCATATTAAACCCCCTCAACATTTAACTTAAGCAAATAACAACTCACTTGATTTCGAAGAAATTCTCAATGTCCCGCTCATCGTAAGTCAGATGCCGCTTCACATGCTTCACCAAATCCAAATACTGAGAGAAGGTGATGGGTCCTCCGCCATCGGGTGTGTAATCATTGCCATACATATTCAGACCCATCAGAATTTTAGCACGTTTTGCCGCCATATCAGAACATCCCTCTGGGGCGATTGTCTCTACAGCCTTGCGGACGAAATAGAGTGGTGCATTTGCTCCAGGACGCTGCACACTGGAGAAATCGTAGGTCATCAGGGAGAAAGCGAATATGTGCTTGTACAGCTTGTCCATGTGTTTCTCCCCGAAAAGATTGCCCGTGTCCTTGCGGAACGGAGGAATGACTAGAATGAGACGCAACTGCTGCTTCTGGAGTTCTTTGGCTGAAAAAAAGAAATAATTTCATAAATATGCTTGAAGAAAGAAACCAAACGTAAATATAAGATTAAGTTTTTCCTTAATTCATTAATAACTAAGTAGGGCAATCATTACAAAACCCACCCATTTGCAGAACCAGTGCATAGAGAATTTTGTCATCAATGCGCCCAGCCAGCTGGGACCACACCTCCAGGACCAGGCCATCGAAGCCATTGTCCTTGCAGCACTTGATCAGGACATCGTTCACCTTCGTCCTTTCCTGGGCATCGCTAAGCAGCAGCTTAATGTCCCGATCGGTGAAGTGATCGAATATGAAGCGAGGAAACACTGATATTTAAGGAGCGTTAGCATAAGATAACAAAAATTAAAGCATATACAGTAGTACCCTTTACAGTTCGCTGGTTGTGGGCCTGCTTTCCCTTCCTGCGGACATCGGTCACCCAGCCCGCATCGATGTCATGGGTTCCTGCCACCGAATAGCGATCCCCCTGCTTCACAATCTGCAGCCAAACTGGCGAGATGATGTCGAACTTCTTGGCAAAGATCTTGGCCACATCATAGCCATGGGAGTTCCACTACACGTAAAGTAAACAATGCAGTTACAATAGCAATACGTACACAAAAAGTGGTAGTACTTACTGGGGTCACATAGCCCAAGGTGGTGCCATTGAAGCGTCTTAGTCCTGTGTCCTTGAAATAGCCCCTGTGGTTGGCCACGATGTCCTTGGCCAAGGGTTCGTGATTTACCAATCCCAGATCGAAAACATTGCTGTCTTGGGGACCGCCACGCATCGTACTTTCCTTATGTTTGCTCTTCGGTTTCTGGCTGTCCGGAGCGAGGGTTCCCTGGACGAAGGTCAGCAGGAGAAGCAGGACAGCGAGGAGGAACAGGAGCGCATTAGGCGCACGCATTTTGACAGGAGAAAGATCAGGACAAACGCATAAATAGCACAAAAACAAATCGCATACAACAAGAAAGCCGGTAGCAGTGTGACCATAGCGAAGTAAACTGAGACTTATCGGCGAGAGTCTCACAAAGTCAAGGTGGTAACCCTAAATCGCTTTTCGAGCTTTTCAAATTTATATCAAATACAAATGAAGTACTGTTATTTTTGTAATAATTACATGGGTACACAGTCAAAATCAACTAACCATTTGTACTTTTCCATGATTTTGTGTTTCAATTTGAACTGCGATTTAAATTTTACCGCCTTAAACTTCCATCTCTAATTTAAACGCACAGCGTTGCCAGATGTTACCAAAAAGCTGCTCTTGTGGAAAACAGCTGTTAGAAGCATTTGACTTTTTTTTGACTTTGATACATTTTCTTGAGCGCAATTAAAGCGCAAGGACCAAACAATGCGTAATGTGCCGAAATCGTAAGTGCTAAAACATTGAAAATGTATCTTAGAAGTAAAGAAATATCTTAATCTTCATCCCCCAGCCTCGGTCTCTCGGTCACAACTCCAGGCGGCAGTTCGGGTGCTCCGGACAGCGGACGCCACAACAGCTTGGAGGACATCAATCTGGACCAGTTCCTGAAGACCTCCAACTACGAGGACACCGTGAAGCAGCTGGACATTTACTATGGCATCGGTGAGGATTTATATAACCTTGGAACAGTTGTCTGTGTGTGGGGCGGCCACCAATTGAGCACCAATTGAAGGCGTCTATTAATAATCATCGCGAAATGTCGACGCCCCAAGCTTGATTGTAAACAGAATCGTTTGTTTATTTGCACTGCCAATCAAGCGGCGATAATCGGTAGCAGCCTCTAACACTTTCTCTTCCCGCAGTTAAGCGCCAGTTGCTGCGCTACCAGAGCCCCATCACCGGGCTGTTTCCCGTGATGAGCACCGACCAGGTGGTGGGTTCCGTGCGGGACAGCGTCTACTGTGCCTCCGCCGTCTGGAGTTTGTACCAGGCCTACCGGCGCATCGACGATGACCGGGGCAAATCCTACGAGCTGGGCCAGAGCACGGTGAAGTGCATGCGCGGCATTCTGGAGTGCTGGGTGAAGCAGGCATCGCGGGTGGAGCTCTTCAAGCAGCGCCAGTCCAACCAGCATGCTCTGCACAGCAAGTTCCAGCTGCACACCGGCGAGAAGATCTATCCGGATGAGTTCTACAACCACCTGCAGATCGATTGCGTGAGTGCAGGCATATTGCTGATCAAAATATACCTAAAAACAAGCATTATCCCCCCCTTAGGTATCTCTCTATCTGCTGTTCCTCGTCCAAATGATAACCTCTGGCCTGCAGATCATCTACACCCACGACGAGGTGGCTTTTGTCCAGAATCTGGTGTACTATGTGGAGCGTGCGTACCGTACGCCCGACTTTGGCATGTGGGAGCGTGGCTCCAAGTATAACAATGGCACCCCCGAGATCCATGCCTCGTCCATTGGCATGGCCAAGTCCGCCTTGGAGGCCATCAATGGCTGCAACCTGTTCGGCGAGAAGGGAGCTTCGTGGAGCGTCGTCTATGTGGACATTGATGCGCACAACCGCAATCGCAGTATTTTCGAAACCATGCTGCCCAGGGAGTCCAGCTCTAAGGTTAGCTACTTTGTATTTTGTGATGTGTAAACTTTAAATTGGTTTCCTTCTTTTCCAGGGTGTGGATGCCTCACTACTGCTCACACTTTCCTTCCCAGCTTTTGCCTCGCATGAGGACCGCCTGGTGGAGCAGACCAAACAAAATGTTGTCAACCGTTTGCGCTGCAAAATGGGCTTCAAGCGCTTCACACGCGATGGATTTCTCAGCAAAAACGAGGACAAATCACGTCGCTATTATCACTCTGGCGAGTTGAAGGAATTCGAAGGCCTGGAATGCGAATGGCCGCTCTTTTTCATAGCCATGATCATCGATGGCGTGTTCAAGAACAACAATGAACAGATCGAAGAGTTCCAGAACGATCTGCGACGCTGTTTGCGCACCGATGTCAATGGCGATCCCGTGGTGACGATGTACTATGCCCCGGACGGAGATGGTTCCTACATGCGTGCCCCCTCGCAGTCGCTGTTCCTCTGGGGACAATCCTTCTTCATCATAGCCCAACTGCTGACCGCAGGACTACTGCACATCAACGAATTGGATCCAATTCGTCGCTATTTGCCAAGCTATAATCGCCCCAGAAGGGCGGGTCGGTATTCCGCCTTCCAGGTGAGTTGCAATCAGGGAATGTGTAGGGTGTTGAACGCTATGAAGTGATAACTGTAACTTTAATTCAAAGGCAGAGTTTTCCAATTTTAACTTCTTCATTATCTAAGTCAAGATAAACTAGCTCTTTACTATAAGAACATTTGGTTTTAAATACTTAGCCTATGCCTGTATACATGGTGATTGAAACACACATTTCATAGCGTGGGGTTTTGAAAGTAAAAAGGGTTTTGGACTTGCCCATTTTGGGTGCCTCCGCTTCTGCTGCCGCTGCCGCTGATGAGTTTTGTGTGTGTGCCGTGTGTGTCTGCGTTCGCTCCCAATTGGAAACTATTACACATAAGTTCTGTTCTGTTGCCTTAGTACTTTGTATGGGTTAAGTGAATAATTGGCTCTCGATATTTAATTCTATCTACATTCTGTTCATTCTCTACTACCAACCACTACCACATACTACTGCTACCACACAACTATGTATCCAAAATGAACAAAATCAAATCGTTCAAAAAACCCAAATTGTAAACTAATTGGTTTCGTAATAACAGGGCAAAGCTATTGACGAAAAACACAAAGTAAGTAGACGTCCTGCTATATCAACATGAATATTGCAAATCTAAATTCAAAATTATATAGAATTCGTATGTGTACAAACTAAATTATGCTTTTTAGACCACAGACACATCTGCACCAAAGATCACTAGTTACATTATTGTGGCTTTTTTATGTTCGGCAAGACACACGGATCGAAAAAATATAACAAAACGATCAAAACACACACCTACACTATAGAAATGATTATTTGCTTATTTTCAGTATGAATTATTATTTCTGTACTCCCGTTTTATTTGTATAATAGCGAACAAATTCTTTTTGGTATCTAAATCAAAAGTTTTCTCTTTACTCTTTTCGGTTTTCTTTCCTCTCTATATACCTATCAATATACTGCATATTTTGTTTAAAAATCAACATAAACACACGCTCTATAGGCTAAACCGGGCACTGTAAGTAATTTGTCACCAGACGATTGGGTTTATTTACGTAGTTTGCAGTTCCTAATTCATGTAATTAACCAAAAGCCATAGAACGATCAAGCTTGATTTGGCTTAATGTCTTGTTACCAAGGTGTTAACACTGGGAATTGGCTTTAAAACGTTCTACAACTTGATCACGCCCGCCAATGTGCAAAGCATTCTTAGTTGCAAATGTTATTTTTTTGGGACAGCGCTTGAAAATAAAATGCCAAAAGACAGCAGCTTTGCTTCAGCCCTTAGAAAATGTTTAATACTACTGTTTAACTGCTGTTTGCTAAATATCCATATGTTCCTCTACTAAAAATTCCATACTATGTATAAAGAAACCACGCATACCTATTATATTGGATGACAAAAAGGTAATTGGTGGTTGTACTATTGGGCCTGGGCTGGGTCTTCTAATTTTGTTAGGGCTTAAATTGGCAGAGATTATGTTAATTGGAATTTTCTATGAATAACCACCTAAAAATTGCACTTAATAACGTATTAAATATAAGGTTTTAGAAGGTTCTAAAATGTTTTCCAAATTCTTTTGTTTGGCTTTAATGCCATCTAATATATATGTTTGGCATGTTAAAATCCTTTAACTTTTATTTAAATCCCACTACATCCCACAATTTTACCCCTCTGCTAGTATTCCCCCAGATCCTCTTCCCACTTTATATTCCCCTTTGTGTGTTTTTGCATTTTGGCATTTGGCTAGTCGAAATTTTCTTGTCATGTGATTAAAACCAAGAATCTTGAATTGGCCCCTTGCATCCTAACATTTTTAATTTATAATCTGAGAAACTTGTATGCTTTGTAACAGTATTTTGGTAATCCTTACAGGGAACTGCCACTGATCTTGTGGTGCAGATTGTCCTGATTGCCGAGTCCATGCGACTGCAGGCCATGATGGCCACCTATGGCATCCAAACACAGACGCCCCATGAGGTAAGTCTTAATCAATTTTGAAGAATAAACAGCATTCTTAACCACTTTTCTTTGACCAGGTGGAACCTGTGCAAATCTGGAGTTCCACGGAGCTCATCAAAGTCTATCAACATTTGGGAGTCAACAACAAGGTTGGCTTGTCCGGTCGTCCATCGAGACCGGTGGGATCCCTGGGCACCAGCAAGGTGTATCGCATCTGCGGCATGACCGTTCTCTGCTATCCACTGATCTTCGAGGTCTCCGATTTCTATCTGTATCGGGACATGGCTCTGCTGATCGATGACATCAAGACGGAGCTGCAGTTCGTGGGCAAATATTGGCGCTTGTCGGGCAGACCCACGGTGTGCCTGCTCATCCGGGAGGAGCACATGCGGGATCCGCAGTTCAAGGAGATGCTCGACCTGCTGGCCATGCTCAAGAAGGGCTACTGTGACGGCATGAAAGTTCGCATCGGTCGCCTGCAGAACCTGATTAGCAGCTCTTGCATCGAGCATCTGGATTTCATGAATCAGAGCGATCTGACCGACAATGAGAATGCATTCTCGCAGATTAACCACGAGTACATTGGCTATCAATCCCTGACAGATGTTCCCAAAGCTTTGACTTACGTGGAGGAGAAGATTTCCGTTGCGGTAAGTAATTGAGTTCAACGATTGTTAGGTTTCCTGATTCCTTAATACTTTATCTTTATTCCAGCACTTTGATACCAAACCCACGCCGGATATTATAAATGCACTGCGAAACACCGATTCCATTTACTGCTTGTGCCAACTATGGGGTATTATTCTGAACCGCGAGGGTCCGCACTTTGAGGTGAATGGTCTGAATGTAAGCACGGCCTTGACGCAGCTCTACCATCGCGCTGGTTCCCTGCGCTACTGGCGTGCCGTACGCTACTGCTCCTCTCTGCTCCACCACATCGTGGACTCCATCAGTCCGTTTATTACCACTGTGCTGGTGAATGGCAAGGAACTCACCGTGGGCATCATTGGCCAGAAGGAGACGGTGTTCGACAAGCCGATGACGCCGGCGGAGATTCAGAATGTCATGTACACGAGTGTCCAGCCGTACGACGTCATCCAGGCGGTACTGCAGCAGGAAGTGGTGCTCTATTGTGGCCGCTTGATAGCCACCAATCCGTCCATGTTCCGTGGCATACTGAAAATTCGAATTGGCTGGGTGCTGGAGGCCATGCGAATCTATCTGAAAATCTCGGGTCAGCAGAGCATCGATGTGGACAATCTGTCGCCCTTCCAAGTCCGCATACTGCTTCAGAAAGTTCTAACCGTCAGCGAGTGGGCTGTGGAGGAAAAGTAAGTGGAAATATCAAGCTATTAAGATAAGTTATAAATTAATATCTCCTAAAAAGGCTAACTACCCTACAACGCCGTCAGCTGGAGGGCTGCTTGTGCCGTGTGCCCAAACATTTCTACAACAAAATCTGGGAGATCCTCCAGAGAACGCCTCAGGGTATTTTGACCCAGGGTCATCACCTGCCCGCCACTCCCACTCTGACCAACATGAGTCGCGGCGAGCTGACCTTCAATTTGCTGGTCGAAGAGACTCTGATTTGCATTGATCGACCGGAAAGGCGTCAAATAACCGTGGAACTGCTGTGCATTGTGGCCACTATTCTGAATCGGTAAGACCTAAAGAAAATATTAAAGATTAACTAAGATTTAAAAATGTTTAATTTAAAAATTTAGATTCTCTAAAAAAGAGATTTTTATAATCTTATAAAAGTTTTACTAAGCAAACATTTTAAAAAATTAACACTTTGTTTATATATAACGTCTATAAAATCTATTTAAAAGTCCAGTTTATAAGAATATTATTTTTTAAATTATTTACACAATTTAACTTGAATTGGAAAGCTAAAACATTACTTTTGCTTGTTGATTTTAGCAATCCTGAGCTGCACTTCAAACAAGCTCTTGATTTGGACGGCATCTTGGCGGAGGCGTTTGCCATGTACTGCAAGGACAACAACATACAGTTGCAGCCGGAGCCGCAGCCTCAGCAGACCAAGAAGGAGGATCTCAAGGCGTTCTACTCGCTGCCATATTCGGAGACCACGGGCTACTTGGCTCGTGCCGCCGTCAACAAGGTGTTGCAGGGCGGCATATTCTCCACCGCCGAGGAGGATGTTCAGCTCGATGGCGATCGCTTGCACGACGACAACTGCAAGGTGTCCTAGACGGAGGGACCCTCGACATTAGATTATGTATATAGCACAGTTTGGCATATCTTCGATGCACTGACCCACTGACCATTAGCTCGAATTTAGTGGTTTTTTTATTCTGTTATTCTTATTTAACTTGTCTCTCTCTGTGTCCCTTGCCGTTCTTCGTTTGCCTAGTTCTTAATTAAATGTTATGTATAGTTTTTGTTGCAATAATCGAAGGTGTTACATGGGCGAGTGTTTGATAAGTTAATAGGTCAATAGCACTGGGGGTGGAAACCCAAGCCGCTGGGCCCTAACTAACCTCGCTTAATGCAAGCCGTATTGATTTGCTGTGCCCCCTCACTTATGTCACCCTCACCACTTGGCTATAAAAGGTCTGCACCGATTCTCCACTCGGTTTACTTGACCACCAGTCGTCGTCGCACTTGACCATCATGCGCGCTCCCGAGTGGATGAGCACTGAGATGGCGCGCCTCACATCAAGGCTGGAACGCTACAAGCCCACGGGCAGTGGCTACAACCGCATCCAGTCGATTCGTCTGTCCAAGAGCGTCACCCAAATGCTGAACAATCCGATGCCTCCGGCGCCAGCCGCTGCCACCGCCAGAATACAGCAGGAGAGCTCCTTCACAACGCCGCGACGACGAGGTGTCCTCAGTCGCAGCGAATCGGAATGGGAGGAGGTCTATCCGGCCGTCAAGTTTGTGCGTCAGGAGAGCAGCGAAAGTGCCACGAGTGAGGACAGTGAGCTGCGGTTCACCCACTACAGAAATTGTGCCACGCGAATTCCCTGAATTGTTCAATCTACTTTGCAATATTTGTAAATTTTTATCTGTCTTAAGTGAAAAATAAAACAACATAGAACCTCTAAGCTAAAGTTTTTTTTTTTATGTTGGTCATTGAAGGGCGTCTTGTTTGGATGCACTGCTTAATTTGATTTAAGGGGCTACACTTACTTGCAAATGTATCCTTGAAAACTGATGAACTACGTAAAAAATTAAATTTGGCAGGCTTTGTTAACACCCACATTTCTAGTCCTTAACGCTTCGTTTATTAATCGCTTTTACAGTTTAGCTTCATAAAAATATTTATTAAAAAGATGCAGTAATTTATGTATGACAATCAATTTTGATGCTTTATTTTAGTTCGTAAGTATTCCACGTAGTTATTAAGCTTATTTTGGAAATTAAACGCTAAAAAATAGGTACATATTATATCTACGTTTTAAGTTGTTCGTTTCTTTGTATAAAAATTCATTCGTTGCTACGTTTATTAATTTAATTTTGTTTCGATCCATATAAAATATAACATATAGATTTTTGTTGGCGCTTACTAATTTAAAGAGATTGCATATGGGAGATATTTGTGAACTTGATCGATTTACGTTCGAAGCCAACGCACTTTAGCATTATACAAAAGGAAATATTGATATGAACTTGCCTAGAAAAAAGTTGCTTAAGCAAATGATGTTTGCATTCGATACAAAAATATGTCACATGATATGCCTATAACTAAAGTCAACGCTCTATATATATGCAACATATCGATTTAGTTTTATAACAAACAGTATAACATATACCTAATATCGTTAATCAGTTTTGTAAAGGGCACACACAGGCAAATAGCATAGAAATGTATGCGATTCGAAGCAATTTGGTTAATAATACATGATATTTTTGTTTCGTATAAATATAAAACATTATTATTACCTATTAACTCGGATGCTTTAGGTTAGTTGTTATATTAACGGTTTCTGTAAAATGCTAAATTCCCTGAATATGAGTTCTCATCATTATTATTAGTATTTTCGTACTTAATCTTCAATTTTTACACATATCTAAAAGTAACTTAATTCAATAATTTGCTTGCTTAGGCAATTACAATTCACTAGTATTTTCATGTGATTAAACTAACAAACAGCAACACTTTTCGCTTACTTAGGACTAAATACACGGTTTCACACAAGGGCAGTACTTTTGACAAAAAATCGAACGAACTGTAGACTGTATAAATGGGTGATGTGTACTTGTTTGTGTTTCTGATTTGTGTTTTTTTTTCTTTTGTTTTCTTTCCTTCATATAAAAATGTTTAAAAAAGACTATGAAACCTACGATAACGCAATACGTACTAGATACGTAAACAAACTCTAAATTACAAAAGCGTTCAAGTTAGGCCTATGTTATTGTAGTTGCTGCTGCTGCTGCTGCTGCTGCAGCTGCTCTGGCCGACGCACACTCATTCGGCTGGGAATGGAGTCGGTGTCGCCGTCATCGTCCACGTACTCCTCCTTGGGACGGGTCCACTTGATTAGCGTCTCGGGCGATCGGTACAGGAAGAGCAATTTGGCAAACAGATCTTCCTCCAGGGCGAATTCCAAAGCCTCTCGTACCTGCAAATTGGTGTAGTATATGAGTAAACTTCATCCATATACATAGCTATTTAAATTACCAGATAAATATCCAGACAGAGTTGCAGTACCCTATCAACGTAAGGCAGATCCTCAAACATGATCTTTCGGTTCTGCCCACCAATGAAGGACTTCATGAAGCGCGAGGCCAATAACACAAAGGTGGTGTACAAACCAATGATGCTGTAAGGATAAATATTATAATTGGAGTTTTAATTCCTGGTAAATCTTCGGCAGACTCACCCTCCGGCTGTGAGGAAACTGAATGTCGATGGGAACTTCTTGTCGTTGAATGTGTACATCACTATGCCCGATGTGCAGTTGCTGTAGGCAAACTTGGACAGCGTTTCGTTGTAGAAGGTATCGTTGCAAAAGTCCCGGATCTCCCACCACAAGCCGTTGGTCTCGTTGTCCCGATGCATTTTGATGACCAGCGGTCGGTATTCGTGGTGTTTCTCACTCAGCACACTAACCACAGCGGCATCGCCCGAATTGAGCACCTTGATAAACTTTGGTATCACGCCGGGTATCACAACAACTTCTTCGACTTTGGGAGTGGAAGCGGTAATGGTTTCATTGGTGGTGGTGGTATTGCTTTGAACCGGCTCCACATCATGAGTCTCGCTAAGCATATGGATAAGAGCGGCGCGCCCCTCGAAGGATTCGTCCAGCGAAATGGCATGCTCGTCGCCAACAGTCTCCTTTAATCCCTTGGCGGGAGCTTTTCGCGTAAGGGAATAGGAAAAGCGTGCCTTCAGTGTGTGGTCTAAAATAGTTTAAAAAAATATATATATATTATATATTTAAAATTAATAAATTAGTTAGTTGATTGAACTCACTGTTTCTCAAATCATTTAGCAACCGCTGCCTATCCGGTGGAGCTATGTTCCAAAGGGATGGCGAGTTCCCAGCCAGTCGCACAGCGGCCACATCCGTTGCATCATAGCCAGCTATAAACGTAAGAGCCTGTTTCTCCTTAATATACGCATTAGTCATCTGAGAGTACATCTCGGGATTGATCTCGTAGATGCTGTCGTAGTTATTCGTAGTGTAGATGGGATCATAGGGTCCGATTCGTATCGACAGAGACACCTGATAGGGCACATTCGAGGTGCCGACGGCATTGCCCAGGGCAAACAGACACAGTGGTCCCCAGATGCAAATCACAATCAGCAGGACAACGGTGCCGCCCATGATAAGCTTGGAAAGTGAGGCCTTCTTCTGGGCCCGCATGGCCGGAAAATCGGTCTCCGACTGCCGGGTGCAGCGAATCAGATAGATGTTCGAGAAAATGTCCTCCATCTTCAGCCAGTCGAAGATGGTCATTGTGCTGTCGATGCACACCCAATCCAAGATCGTTCGCAGCTCGTACAGGAATGGGATCTGCATGTACACCTTGAAGGCGATCATGTTGACCATCGAGAAGCCCTTGGTGAAGAAGTTGCCCAGAATGCGCTTGGGGTAGCCGGATTTGATTTGATACGAGCTTAGCAGCATGTAGAAGCACTTGATCACGTAGAATATAATGGGCGGTGCCAGGGAGTTGAAGGTGCGCTCCGTAACAGCCGGCACCACGAAGAACATCCAGATGTGTATGCCAATCACCGAGAAGAAGTGGAAGATGATCTTGTTGACCAGGGCTTTGCGCAGGTACAAGGCTCGATCTATAACGATGAGCAGGAACTGAACCAGTAGCATGATCAGGAATGGTATGGGCACTTTGTTCTCCGCCAGATAAGTCTGCACACCCTCGTCGCTTTCGGTTTGTTGGGTCTAAAAGCAGGGAATAAGATGAACTAGGTTTCTAAAATATATATTTTGTTTTACTCACTCCAAATGCAGTGAAGCCAAAGAGCAGCACAAAGAAGTTCACAAAGTCGCAGAGGAACATCAGGGCATAGACATCAGTGGCTAAACGGGATTTGTGAACCAGACTAAAGAAGAACTTGTACAGCGAAGAGGTGTACTTGGTGCGTCTGCAAAGCCAATTATTAATTGATTACTATTGATAATTCCTTCAAAGTCTAGTTAGACACTTACTCTAACTGGTTGATGCCACTCTTGCTGAACTCTGGCGATCCGGGCAAAGAAGCCTGACTCACTTGCAGACTCATCTTCTGGGCAGCATCTTCGTTCAGCTGGCGGGAGTCGGGTTGCGATAGATTGTCGCTATCATCGCGATCATCACTTTATAAGGAAAACAATAGAATAAAACATTAAACTTAATTAACTTAAGAACCTCTGGTAACCTACATGCTAGCGGTGGGTTTAGTGAACTGATTATCCGTATCCTTGTAGCCCGATTTCCAAAGGCCCTGCGACTTAAGCAGATATCGATGCAGGAACAGTACCAGCAAAAGGATCAGATCATAAATGGCATAGTGTGCCTTATTCTCCACGCCAAAGATTTTGGCTGGTGCCAGCGGCTGGTTGGGTAGCTGGTGGTAGTTGGACCAGATCAGTTTGAACTGGAAGATGCACTTGATCAGCACAATGGCCTGGGTGTAGGCAATCAGGGTGACCCAGAACGTTTTTGTGGGGCGTGGCAGCGACAAGGTGCCCCACAAAAACACCATAATGGGCAGCGGCAGCGAAATAAGACTGGCATTGACCACCTGCAAAACGAAAAATAAATTTAAATAGGGTTTTGGAGGGAAGTAAAAACCTCTTACCTGATTGATGAACACCACAATATAGCAGATGAGATCCGTGTTGGCCAACAAGGCGTACCACGAAGAGATCAGCAACTCCACAATGATATGATGATCTCGCATGGCAAAGTTCTCCTCCTCCAGGTTGAATTCAC